CAGAAACTTAAAGCAACACTGGAAAAGGAACTGCTTACAGTGGAAAACCAGACCCAGGCTGAGATCGACCTAATCTGCTTCAGCCAGAAGAATTATCAAGACCATGCCAGACCCCAACGGTTCAGTTCGGCGCGTGTGTGTATGTTAAAACGAAGTTCAGCACACTAGAGCGACCTATTCCAAAGCTCTGTCGGTTACAAGAAGCAGCATGAGAGTATACTGATAAGATAAAGAGAAGGCTCAAGAGCCAATAAGTGGCAGAAATACAATAATATTGTTATAAGTAATGGTCATTATTTAGAGTTTTGTGGCTCTTAAGGTTAACGTCAAGAGTAATTGGTATGCTCCCTGGCTAGCCAATTAGGGTTTGGTAATATAAGAGCCATAAGACAGAAAGTGAATGTTATTAATTGTGTGTATAGATTTGATGTACATCTCTCATACATTTGTTGACAGACTGGGCATACTTGACTTGGAATATTCCAACTGTTGGTTGAACCCATGACGTCACTTCCGGTCTGACAGTATAAATGGGAAGCCAGGAGAAGAGCCAGGCAGGAGCGAGTGGACACAGTCTCTGTCCACCGCCGTGTGACAACGCGATACATAAAGTACGTGGACAGGCGAAGATACTAAGACAATAAGAAACAGTTTTTATTTAAGACACGTCAAACACGCGTCAGAATTATTGCTCCCACAGGTTACGACGTAGCTTGTTTGTTGGTACAAGAAAGCTGCACCTACACGCCACTGTGGACCGCACACAGTCGTAACGCAGTGTACCCCTAGCCTGTGCTCCTTCAACGGAGGAGGAACACCAAAACGACAGGAACGAAATTCTGAAATCGCCTCATGGTTCTAACAACTCGACATTGACATTTAACTCTTTCATGTATGTGTGTTGAACTTCTCTCGCACCGTACGTGGCCAAAAGTGCCGTTCAGAGGTCCAGTGGAAGGACAACAAACTAAACACAAAAATAAATTCTAAAGAAATTCGTTTTTTTTTTATCTAGATTTAAAAGTGCATAGCTCCAGTGGCTTCCTAATCAAATAGCTCGTGAACACATTGGCCAGCATGCACCAGAACAGGACCACTTTGAAACCACCTCTTTCTGGGAATGCCCCTCAGTCTCTGTCCTGGTGCTTTCGTGTGCATCAAGTTTGTTCGGTTTATGCGGTTTCATTCTCTTCTTACGACATGTCCTGCCTCTCGATTTAAAGCTTTCGTGACTGCAGGGATTCATCTTCTTGGTTCTTTCGGTAAAGTCACGTAGAAGGGAAATCATAAAATAATACAAAATATAAAACAATAAAATTCTCACGACGTTTCGGCCACAATGCAAGCAGCCGTCCTCAGCTCTGTTTCTTCACCTGAGGACGGCTGCTTGCATTGTGGCCGAAACGTCGTGAGAATTTTATTATGTTTTATTCTATTATATCCCTTCTACGTGACTTTACCGAAAGAACCAAGAATATGTCCTGCACCGCCTACTGAGTCAGTTTTCTCTTCACGTGTCCGAGACGGATACCACTTTCCATGAATTCGAACTGACATCACTCCGAGCCATCCAAGTTGACTTTCAGCTAGGACCACCCAAGTGGCCATCCAAATTTAAGTCGTAAATATGAATATATAAATAACATTTCGATTTAAAGCTTTCGTGACTGCAGGGATTCATCTTCTTGGTTCTTTCGGTAAAGTCACGTAGAATGGAAATTAAATAATAAAAATAAAACATAATTAAATAAAATTATCACGACGTTTTGGCCACAACACAAGGCTACTTGTGCTCCTCCCACCCAGCTTAAAAGACGCTGCCAAGCTTACCAGTGTTCATTGAAGCGCTGTCGTCCCGACAGTTCTGTTCCTTCACCTGAAGAAGGCTACTTGTGTTGTGGCCAAAACGTCGTGTGAATTTAATTTGATTATGTTTTATTTTTATTATTTTATTTCCATTCTACGTGGTGACTTTACCGAAAGAACCAAGAAGATATAAATAACAGTAGAGTAACACTAACAACACCGAACCTGGCAAGTTTAAGTCAGAATCTTACAAGGAATTTTCTATCATAAACGGGGTAAAAAAAATTACGGGATAAATTTTTTTTAGTTTAATCACAGGACTCTTGTAAAAGCCACATTTTTTTAGGTAACCCGGCACTGATATGTTTGTCAGACAATACATTATTTTTTTTTCAAACTGTCCCAGGTTCATGAATGTATACTGAAGCATTTGTGACATACGGAATTTTTCCCTGGTGTTACATTTTCTGGCATCACCACCCGACCCATGATAAGGACAAGAGGGCTTCATGCCACGACCCATGATACGGACCAGAGAGCATCATGCATGACCCATCATAGGGACAGAGGGCTTCATGCCTGACCCATGATACGGATCAGAGAGCATCATGCATGACCCATCATGGGGACAGAGGGTGTCATCCATGACCCATGATCAAGGCTGGCAGCATCGGGTTTTTTTTCATCGGCTTTTTCATGGTTTTAATAAAACCCGATCATCTCAGATGGCCAAAAATCCGGTTTTATTCGGTTTTATTGCCTGTTAACCCCTATAATTATAGCCCCCACCAAAGAGAAGACAAACAACACGTTCCGCTACAAGATGATGGTCAAAGGTTGCAAGACGCCGATGGAGTCTTGGCTATCCGATGGCAGTGAGTGGCCTGAGCTGCATTGCCACGTCTAGCGCCGCATCCGAGAGGAAGTTCTCCAACACGGCCTTCATTCACTCCGAGCTGAGGAGCAGCCCGAGCGTGAAGTCGCTGGAAAAGGTCGAGAGAAACATTCACGCCTTCTTCGACGGCACGGTTGAGATGATCGAAGGGGACAGCAAATCCGATGACTCTGGCACCGATTGACGACAACTTGACTTGCCGGATTAAAACCATGGGTTTTTTCGACAAAACCGGGTTTTTAAAAAAATTAAACCAATAACCCGATAAAATTTGCAAAAAATTGTTTTTTTCCACTGTTAGTACAGGCTATAACAACACTGTTACTACAGACTATAACACTGTAACTACAGACTATAACAACACTGTTACTACAGACGATAACAACTCTGTTACTACAGACCATAACAACACTTACTACAGACGATAACAACACTGTTACTACAGACTATAACACTGTTACTACAGGCTATAACAACACTGTTACTACAGACGATAACAACTCTGTTACTACAGACTATAACAACACTTACTACAGACGATAACAACTCTGTTACTACAGACGATAACAACTCTGTTACTACAGGCTATAACAACACTGTTACTACAGACTATAACACTCTGTTACTACAGACTATAACACACTGTTACTACAGACTATAACAACACTGTTACTACAGACTATAACAACACTCTTACTACAGACTATACCGACACACTGTTACTACAGACTATAACAACACTGTTACTACAGGCTATAACAACACTCTGTTACTACAGACTACACCAACACTCTGTTACTACAGACTATACCAACACTGTTACTACAGACTATAACAACACTGTTACTACAGACTATAACAACACTCTGTTACTACAGACTATAAAAAACACTCTGTTACTACAGGCTATACCAACACTGTTACTACAGACTATAACAACACTGTTACTACAGACTATAACAACACTCTGTTACTACAGACTATAACAACACTGTTACTACAGACTATAACAACACACTGTTACTACAGACTATAACAACACTGTTACTACAGGCTATAACAACACTGTTACTACAGACTATAACACTTTGTTACTACAGACTATAACACTCTGTTACTACAGACTATAACAACACTTACTACAGACGATAACAACTCTGTTACTACAGACTATAACACTGTTACTACAGACTATAACACTGTTACTACAGGCTATAACAACACTGTTATTACAGACTGTACCAACACTCTGTTACTACAGACTATAACAACACTGTTACTACAGGCTATACCAACACTCTGTTACTACAGGCTATACCAACACTCTGTTACTACAGACTATAACACTGTTACTACAGACTATAACAACACTGTTACTACAGACTATAACAACACTGTTACTACAGACTATAACAACACTCTGTTACTACAGACTATAACAACACTCTGTTACTACAGACTATAACAACACTCTGTTACTACAGACTATAACAACACTGTTACTACAGACTATAACAACACTGTTACTACAGACTATAACAACACTCTGTTACTACAGACTATAAAAAACTCTGTTACTACAGGCTATACCAACACTGTTACTACAGACTATAACAACACTGTTACTACAGACTATAACAACACTCTGTTACTACAGACTATAACAACACTGTTACTACAGACTATAACAACACACTGTTACCACAGACTATAACAACACTGTTACTACAGACTATAACACACTGTTACCACAGACTATACCAACACTGTTACTACAGACTATAACAACACACTGTTACCACAGACTATAACAACACTGTTACTACAGACTATAACAACACACTGTTACTACAGACTATAACAACACTGTTACTACAGACTATAACAACACACTGTTACTACAGACTATAACAACACTGTTACTACAGACTATAACAACACTGTTACTACAGACTATAACAACACGGTTACTACAGACTATAACAACACTCTGTTACTACAGACTATAACAACACTCTGTTACTACAGACTATAACAACACTGTTACTACAGACTATAACAACACTGTTACTACAGACTATAACAACACTCTGTTACTACAGACTATAAAAACTCTGTTACTACAGGCTATACCAACACTGTTACTACAGACTATAACAACACTGTTACTACAGACTATAACAACACACTGTTACTACAGACTATAACACGTGGCTGGGCACTGTCACCACGTGTTAACCACCGCCCACGTGTCTCAGGCACAGCAGCGGTGTCAATGCCCCCGGCAAGTGGAGCTTACCCCAGGGTACTGATGAATCCGTTCACCGTCCCCTCGGCGTACAGCGAGACGATGTCTCCCACGTGGAGGAAGCTGGACATCTTGTCCGTCATCTTCTTGGTGCATAAATCGTGTCTCTGTGTTGTGTGCGAATATCTCTGTGTGTGTGTGTTATAGCCTGTACTGTTTATGCATTTGTCTGAGTTTATGTATGCGTGTGTCTTAAGAGTGTCTTTGTAAGTTTGTGTGTGCGTGTGTCTAAGAGTGTCTTTGTAAGTTTATGTATGCGTGTGTCTAAGCGTGTCTTTGTAAGTTTGTGTGTGCGTGTGTCTAAGAGTGTCTTTGTAAGTTTATGTATGCGTGTGTCTAAGAGTGTCTTTGTAAGTTTGTGTGTGCGTGTGTCTAAGAGTGTCTTTGTAAGTTTGTGTGTGCGTGTGTCTAAGAGTGGCTTTGTAAGTTTGTGTGTGCCTACGATTTGTCTATTATGCATGTGTCAGAGTCCGTATGCGACTTTATGTAGGCGTGTCTGTGTGTGTATTAACGTATGATGTATATGTGTGTGTATGGATGTCTGTGTTTAAGTTATCGTGTCTATCTGTATGTGTGTGTCTTCGTGTGTGTTGCAGACACGGAAGAGAAGTCGCTCACATACCCTACTCTGTTCGACACTTCTAACGCACCAACTTTGACAACTTTACACACACCGCCTACTTCATCTACAGTGTAGTTAACTATTCAACGATGTGTGATTACTGCGCGCGTGTAGGATAGTATGTGTATGGCACAGTCTATACTAAGTACTGTAGTGAACGTATAACGTGTCTTTGTGTGCTGTGTGGTGTATATTAAAATCTTGTGTATTATACAATTCAACACTATGGCTCATGTGAGTGTGCGTGAACACTTTCTCTCTCTCTCTCGCACACAACAACAAGACAACAACAAGACGACAACAACAACATCACACTCGCGCACACTTCCGTGAATGTAGCAGCAGCATGAGTAGCAGCAGTAGCAGCACCAGAGGGAGGGCTCTCGACCAAACAGTGCGAAGCAATTGGCTACCCCGAGCAAGCAGAGAAAGAGGTGGGACATCACAAAAACATTGTCACCGAGGGGCCACGCGTGATGGACATTGCCGTGACATCAGAATGATATTTGTTCTTTTCGAAATCTATCCTGGAAGAGGATTCTGATGTCTGACAGATGCCTGACAGATGTCCCAGCAGTAAGGGCAGCGGGTTGTCAGCAGGTAACGACAACAAATCACAAAGAAGGATACTGGGGTGAGATAGAGAACAGTTGAGACGCGACTTTAATAAATAAGAGCAATTCGCACCTTTATATTTAAAATCCACGTTGCAGGCTTCGGCAAGGCAGCAAAACAACAACTACCCCACCCCCCAGACCACAGCAAAACAACAACAACAACAACAACCCCCAGACCACAGCAAAACAACAACAACCCCCAGACCACAGCAAAACAACAACAACAACCCCCAGACCACAGCAAAACAACAACAACCCCCAGACCACAGCAAAACAACAACAACAACCCCCAGACCACAGCAAAACAACAACAACAACCCCCAGACCACAGCAAAACAACAACAACCCCCAGACCACAGCAAAACAACAACAACCCCCAGACCACAGCAAAACAACAACAACAACCCCCAGACCACAGCAAAACAACGACAACCCCCAGACCACAGCAAAACAACAACAACAACAACCCCCAGACCACAGCAAAACAACAACAACAACCCCCAGACCACAGCAAAACAACAACAACAACCCCCAGACCACAGCAAAACAACAACAACAACAACCCCCAGACCACAGCAAAACAACAACAATCCCCAGACCACAGCAAAACAACAACAACCCCCAGACCACAGCAAAACAACAACAACTCCCAGACCACAGCAAAATAACAACAACCCCCAGACCACAGCAAAACAACAACAACCCCCAGACCACAGCAAAACAACAACAACAACCCCCAGACCACAGCAAAACAACAACCTACGACAACCCCCAGACCACAGCAAAACAACAACAACAACCCCCAGACCACAGCAAAACAACAACAACCCCCAGACCACAGCAAAACAACAACAACAACAACCCCCAGACCACAGCAAAACAACAACAACCCCCAGACCACAGCAAAACAACAACAACAACCCCCAGACCACAGCAAAACAACAACCTACGACAACCCCCAGACCACAGCAAAACAACAACAACAACCCCCAGACCACAGCAAAACAACAACAACCCCCAGACCACAGCAAAACAACAACAACAACCCCCAGACCACAGCAAAACAACAACAACCCCCAGACCACAGCAAAACAACAACAACAACCCCCAGACCACAGCAAAACAACAACAACCCCCAGACCACAGCAAAACAACAACAACAACCCCCAGACCACAGCAAAACAACAACAACCCCCAGACCACAGCAAAACAACAACAACCCCCAGACCACAGCAAAACAACAACAACCCCCAGACCACAGCAAAACAACAACAACAACCCCCAGACCACAGCAAAACAACGACAACCCCCAGACCACAGCAAAACAACAACAACAACAACCCCCAGACCACAGCAAAACAACAACAACAACCCCCAGACCACAGCAAAACAACAACAACAACCCCCAGACCACAGCAAAACAACAACAACAACCCCCAGACCACAGCAAAACAACAACAATCCCCAGACCACAGCAAAACAACAACAACCCCCAGACCACAGCAAAACAACAACAACTCCCAGACCACAGCAAAATAACAACAACCCCCAGACCACAGCAAAACAACAACAACCCCCAGACCACAGCAAAACAACAACAACAACCCCCAGACCACAGCAAAACAACAACCTACGACAACCCCCAGACCACAGCAAAACAACAACAACCCCCAGACCACAGCAAAACAACAACAACTCCCAGACCACAGCAAAACAACAACAACCCCCAGACCACAGCAAAACAACAACAACCCCCAGACCACAGCAAAACAACAACAACAACCCCCAGACCACAGCAAAACAACAACCTACGACAACCCCCAGACCACAGCAAAACAACAACAACAACCCCCAGACCACAGCAAAACAACAACAACCCCCAGACCACAGCAAAACAACAACAACAACAACCCCCAGACCACAGCAAAACAACAACAACCCCCAGACCACAGCAAAACAACAACAACTCCCAGACCACAGCAAAACAACAACAACCCCCAGACCACAGCAAAACAACAACAACCCCCAGACCACAGCAAAACAACAACAACACCCCCCAGACCACAGCAAAACAACAACCTACGACAACCCCCAGACCACAGCAAAACAACAACAACAACCCCCAGACCACAGCAAAACAACAACAACCCCCAGACCACAGCAAAACAACAACAACAACAACCCCCAGACCACAGCAAAACAACAACAACCCCCACACCACAGCAAAACAACAACAACTCCCAGACCACAGCAAAACAACAACAACCCCCAGACCACAGCAAAACAACAACAACCCCCAGACCACAGCAAAACAACAACAACCCCCAGACCACAGCAAAACAACAATCTACGACAACCCCCAGACCACAGCAAAACAACAACAACAACCCCCAGACCACAGCAAAACAACAACAACCCCCAGACCACAGCAAAACAACAACAACAACCCCCAGACCACAGCAAAACAACAACAACCCCCAGACCACAGCAAAACAACAACAACTCCCAGACCACAGCAAAACAACAACAACCCCCAGACCACAGCAAAACAACAACAACCCCCATACCACAGCAAAACAACAACAACAACCCCCAGACCACAGCAAAACAACAACCTACGACAACCCCCAGACCACAGCAAAACAACAACAACAACCCCCAGACCACAGCAAAACAACAACAACCCCCAGACCACAGCAAAACAACAACAACAACAACCCCCAGACCACAGCAAAACAACAACAACCCCCAGACCACAGCAAAACAACAACAACTCCCAGACCACAGCAAAACAACAACAACCCCCAGACCACAGCAAAACAACAACAACCCCCAGACCACAGCAAAACAACAACAACAACCCCCAGACCACAGCAAAACAACAACCTACGACAACCCCCAGACCACAGCAAAACAACAACAACAACCCCCAGACCACAGCAAAACAACAACAACCCCCAGACCACAGCAAAACAACAACAACCCCCAGAGCACAGCAAAACAACAATCCCAGACCACAGCAAGACCACGCACAGCATGGAGCCCTTTTTGCAAGTATCAAAGTACGAACAATACAAATAGGTGTTCTCCCTTCATGGCAATAAAGCAGGGGGTGTTAAGGTGTTCAAACACAAAATAGAAACATTTTGCAAGGCATCAAGTCTGCATTAAGGGACCGTCCATAAATGACGTCACGCACCGGGGGGGGGTCTGACATTTGTGACGAGGGGGGGGGGGGTTTGAGAAATGTGACGTCACATCAAAATGCACAACTTTAAATAAATATAGAATTGTTATAACAACACTAATTGTTATATTGTTATAACAACACTCCTACAACATCAGAGTGCAGCGCCACATTAAATACGCACTACAATGACAATAGTTTAAAGCGATTTGAAGCATGTTTTATTTTCAAAATGGAAATGTTTTTTTGGGGGGGGGGGGCAGAGCTTTGTGACGTCATATTTTAGGGGGGGGGGGTCTGACTTTTTGTTACGCCGTGTGACGAAGGGGGTGGGGTCAAAAGTCGTCCAAAAATCGCGTGACGTCATTTATGGACGGCCCTTCTGCCTCCACCAGAGACATTCTTAGTGGTACAAAGACAATGGGCGTATCAGAGCATCGATAAACTAAATATCGATAGCACATCATGGGTAAGGTTCGTAGTTACAAATCACAATTGCAATTGTGTCTGTGTCTGAACGGCAATCTTCTGGTGGAGGATATTTATTAAAGGGATATTTACTCGGTTTGTTGTATGAATTCATTCTCTCGCTCATTCATTCTCATGATTCATGCATTCTACCGTTCATGTTAATTAACGAATGTGTTAACGAATACCAGATGAGTGATTCACCGTAGTGCACATATACACTCATATGTGTGTTCCTGGGCCTCTCCTAGGTTCACTCAGCCTCAAGTGTGTACCCTGGTGTGGTGTGTAAATATAACAACCAGGGAGACAAAGGCGGCCGGGCGTGGTGCTGGCCACCCACCCCCTCTTGTGCCGTTCCGGCCTTCCCAGATACTCACTTCGTAAGTCTGTCAGTGCGACACGAGGCGTCATTACCCCAACCAGGGATTCATTCGTGAAAACTTCAGTCAGTTGACTCTTTAACTTTATTAACCAATCGTTCATTCACACCATTAATTTACAGCAGCACATCCACCACCGTTCACAACTACGTGGAGGTTAATTGCACGTGGACTGTTGTGTGTGCTCGCTCACGAAGTGTTCACCGGAGTTTATGTAAAACAATTATTGACAGCGGTGTTATTCATGTACATGCTTGCCGTGCTTTAACGGCTAACGCAATGTGTGAACCTGCCAGCTACAGATGTCCAGTTCGATCTGCCAGCGCAGCAGCTGGAACAATGGATCAAGTCCCTAGCCCCCCTCCCCAGCTCTATCAGTCCACCCAGTACAATAGATCAAGTCCCTAGCCCCTCCCCCCCAGCTCTCTCAATCCACCCAGTACAATAGATCAAGTCCCTAGCCCCCCTCCCCAGCTCTATCAGTCTACCCAGTACAATGGATCAAGTCCCTAGCCCCCCCCCCCCCCCAGCTATCTCAGTCCACCCAGTACAATAGATCAAGTCCCTAGCCCCTCCCCCCCAGCTCTCTCAATCCACCCAGTACACAGATCAAGTCCCTAGCCCCCCTCCCCAGCTCTATCAGTCCACCCAGTACAATGGATCAACTCCCTAGCCCCCCCCCCCCCCCCCCCAGCTATCTCAGTCCACCC